CTGGCGGCGGCGGCGGCGGCCGCGGGGGGGGGTGCGCGCACGGCAGCTGCGCAACTCGCTCGCTCTCCCCGCTCGCCCTCGCACAGCCCAGCGCGCACGCACCCGCGGGCGCGCGCGCGCGGGAGCACGCGGCGCGCGCACCCGCGCGCACAGAACTCAGACGCGTGCTCGCCCCCCCCGCCCCCCCGCACCCCTCCGTCCGCCGCCGGCTACACTCGCTCGCTCCCTCCCCAGGAACACTAATCGAGCGCAGAGAGGCAGCGCCACACGCGAACCACCGCTCTCCGCCCCGCCGGCTCCACCAGCCGCCCCCCCCTTCGCCCGGCACCATCCTCCTCCTCCTCCTTCTCCTCCTCCTCCCACCCCATCCCGGCTTTGATCTCCCATTGTCTGCTCAGCTGAGCCCGGCGGCGCGCGGGGGGCGGCGGGGGCGAGCGCCCGGGGCCGCGCCCGGGAAACCGCGGGCGATGAGAAGGGCGAGAGCGGGGGGGGGGGCGGTTTGGGGGGGGGGGATGTGCCCGCGGGACGGACGCGGAGTTCGGAGCCGGGCGGCGGTGGGAGGACACGGGGCCCCACGCACGTGCAGGGCCCTCGTCACGCCCCCGAGCCCCCGCCCGGCCCCATCCGCAGCCCCCCGTGCCCGCCCCTCCGCGACCCTCCGGGCTCCGCTCCCCCGCGGGCTCCACCATCGCCCGGTCCATCGCCCTGTGGCGTATATAACGCGTCTGCACGCGCTTCTTCCCCGTCCAGACTTCCTTGGTTGGATGCCTTTGCCGTAAAAGAAACTAAGCAGCCCTCGACGGTGGCTGCCAACACCGGATATGTGCCTTCCATCTCCCGGCTGACCGTGTTTGCCAAGCCGGGAAGGCCCCGCCAAGGCCTCCGCGGGATGATGGGCCAACAGAAAGTCAACTGTTGACTTGCTTATGAGTCCATCGCTAGTTACACCCCGCAACCTGTTCCTGTCACCTCGTGTGTCATCTGGGGGTGCCTCACATGAGGTGCTGTGCAACAAGCCATTGGCTTGATGAATGAAAGGCTTTGTTATGCAAAGGTACATGTAAGGAGTTACTTCTTCTAGAGAAAATTCTTCAAGGCATAGTTTCTGATCTCAAAAGGACTGAAGGGTGGGACAAAACCAGTGTCGGGACAGGAATGCTAAACTCTGTGTTCTCTCATACCGCAGTGTTTGTTCCATGGAGTGTTTCCTATTCCATGCCACACCAGGGAGCCATGCTCTGCCATAGAACAGCGCAGGTTGACACAGAGTTTGTCACATTTGTGTAATCAACCAAGCCATTGAGTCAACTCATTTATGACCAAAGTTTTTATTTTTTTTTTTTTCAAAGCCTTTCAAAGGTCTTTCTGAAAAATGTTCCCAAATGTTCTACTTTGGTGGACAAGTTTTGGACCATTGTCCAGCAGATACTCATTCTGTAAACGTTGGTCCATTTATGGGCTTTGGGTGATTTATGTAGAAGAAGCTGGAGATTCCTTTCTTAGACTTGATTAATCTGCCCATTCTTTATGACGACAATGTCTCCAAGGTCAACATCCTTCATCTGGATAAGTGAAATTCTGTACTGGACTTTGAGATGGACATCATTCATGCAGATAAAACATCTAAGAACTTTCATGCTTTTCCTAATCTTCTAAGTAGCCTACAAAAAGGCTTTTAATCTACTCCTTGATATCTTTAAGGGCTTAATCTAAAGTGGTGAAAGAGGAGGTCATTCAGTGACAGTAACAGGATCATTGGTGGAAGGATGGGCCTACATACAAAATTAAGGTGGATAAGATGTAATATCTCTGTGACTGCCTTCTGGACATGAGCATTTAATCACCATTCCTAAGAGGCGGGCCAAATAATTTTTTGAGCTGTACGCAGCATAGTGACACTGTTTTTGTAGCCTCCCTTTGAAGGACAGTCTTTGAAGGTAATCAGTAGTCACACAAGAGCAAAGCGACAGCAGCAGTGGTTGCTGAAGATGTTTCTTTTGCTTTGCAAAGGCATAAAAATAGAACATCTTAATCTGAACTAAGGGTCTCACCATTGCAGTAAACTAGGTCTTAGGAATTTTGATTTTTTGGATGATTCAGAAGAAATACTATTCATCAGTTCTTCTCCATTTTCAGTATTTCAAGGAAAGAGCCAAAGCTCAGTTAACACTAGTTTTTAGTGTTCTGACCACACTCCACAATTCATCTTCAGTGAAAGAATTTATTCTTTTACACATATTCATTGCTTGCATTGCCATTAATACTTTTTTGCCTTCCATTCTAACCTTTTGTCCTTGTTGCTTGATAAGACTTTTCAGGAGAATCAATCACACTATTCAAAAATGTCATGTGGTACTGCTATGGTTCAAGCATCTGAGAGGAAATAGGTTTTTGTTAGCGGTTTTTGCAGTTTCATTTTGCTACACAAGTTTCCATGTTAGCTTGCTCTCATCTTGCTTTCTCTAGAATATAAGTCAAGTTGTTCAAATGTTGCATGATGAATTGTCAAAATCGTTGTTTCTTTCTTATTTCTTAAGGTGTTTCATATGTTCCTCACTGGGAGCAGGACGCATCAAATTTCAACAATATTTTGTTTGTTGAAACAAACAAACTGCTTTGTTGCTGCCAGCTTCCTAAAATTACTTTCCTAACATTGCATATAAATATTTCCAGAAGAGAAGTTGTATGGAATGCAGTAATGGAGCAGTCTAGGAAGACTGGAAAGCCGGGCCAGTTTGAGTTCTGACAGTGGCAGAAAATGTTTTCAGAGGTGTTTAAACAGCCTCGGTTCATCCACCTTTAGAAAGAACTGTCAGCCAGACAGGAAGTTTTATGATGTGCATACAGAGCTTCCAGTTTGAAGTAGACAATTTCCTTAGTGGCATTCCTGGTAAAGTCAGGAGGACAATTGCTCTTCTGTTTAGCTGAATAAAGAATGTTCTAATTTATGGGCGAAGTATATATCATGGAATCAAGTTCATTTGAAAGGTCAACTCAATTTTGACCTCATTGTGTGCCACTGGAATGTCTATAAAGATCTTCACAGATGGTGGAACAGCTGAATTTGAAGTAGTTGTGGTATTAGGTCACAGCTAGCTGAGAGTTTACAGTATTGAAAATATCATGGAGATCTGTATTGGATGGGAATGGGTCTACATCTCTAGGATTTGCTCTAAGGAGGGATCACAGACATACTTGCTGTGCAGGGATTTATGCAGAAGATCGTAACTCTTGATAATAAAGTGACTATAAGTAACTTTTGTTTGGTTATATTAAGGTGATTCTGCCTTTTAGTATTTGGGCATAAGGCTTAGAAAGGAAGCATTTAGTCATTGAGATACAGCCAGTGATTAGCTAAAGGATTTCAAAAGGCAAGAATTGATATGGCTAAAAGGGATGGTCTGTGCTGTAGTCATTAACACTCGATCCAATCATCCCATACACTTTTTCACAGTTAAAGGAAAGATAGTCAGAATCGTTGGTGGAATTCCCAGCATGCTTCATCTCATACAAATGTAGATGCCTATGTCCAGTCAGCTAAATCAAAGTCTAAATTTGATTTGTTGTATTGACATTTTTTTTTACTGATCGGAATTATTTCACCTATTCTGCAATTGCTCAGAGAAAGTTGAGATTTATCCTACCCAGGTTTTCTTGATCTAAGACAACTGGATGGTTTAAAACTCTGTAATGGCCAAATTACGTTGACAGTTCAGGTCAAAATATCCCTTTGCACCTAATATTTTTTCTCTCCTATTTTGATCCTATGCTCATTTGCCCTCAAGTTCTGGGGTGTAGTTCATCCTTGTAATTTGTTATTCTCTGTAAATTCTGTCCCTCTTAGTTTCCTCACCTCTTCCTCATCTCCATCTCAGTCTGTTGTCATCTAAGTGGTCTGAGATGTTTAAGTTAAAATGGAGAAACAGAAATGATAGAAAAAAGCATTTCTTGCAATCTGTACTTCCAGCACTCCTGAGCTGAGAGTTACATTTCCCGTTTTGTAGTGGGTGCAGTTTCAAGAGACATCATTTCAGGCAGAAAAAAGGGCTTAGTTTCAACACACAGAGGAAAGTGGGATCACTTGAAGGAACAACTGTTGAACAGGATTTTTTACATGAAGGTCTGGGAGAGAGGACCTTCTTTACTGAGACATTCCTTCTATCAATCTGAAAAACATTGATTCTAGATTAGATTAAGACAGTAACACAATCAAGTTTACATAACTGTAGAAAGGAATGGCAATATTTAGAGTAATATTCTTAGCAATTCTTGTTAATTTTTTGGACTGACATTATGGTATCTAGTTCTATATTGATAAAGACAGTTTCTTTCCCCAAATTTTTGCTTTCAAAGAATGTGACTTCTGTGAAACACTACTGTTTCCTTGTTGACTTCAATGATAGACTAAATGTAGCCATTTTTAAGGACCAATATTTTTTCTTTGTAATATGCCCATTAAATAAGGGGGGTTTTGTTGTCCATTCTCTACCCATGTAGAACTAAGACTTGAAATTACAGCAGATATTGTCAGAATTGTCCACTGACTTCTGCCCTTCCATTAAAGAGGCCTAGATTTAAAAACCTAATAGAATATAGTATATTTTATTTTTAAAGTAGCATTTTTATTGATATTTGTTACAGGTGTAAATACTAGATGCTTTTGTACCTCTAGCTGGATACCCAGTATCTTGAATTGGCTTTCCAAAGTTATATTTGGAATCCACGCTTTACTATGTTTTAATGGCTTGCTTAGTATCAAACAGAAGTTTTACAACAGAATTAG